CTGGGCAACCCATAGCAGTGCCTCACCACCCTTACAGTAAAGAACTTCTTCCTTATATCCCATCTAAACTTCCCCTGTTTAAGTTTTAACCCGTTACCCCTTGTCCTATCACTACAGTTCCTAATGAGGAGTCCCTCCCATCTCCGTATCGAGCTAGGTGACAAGGCCAGGGGAGAGTCACACTGCAGCTGGCTTTACCAGATACCAAGTTGTGGGTGAGGGTTTGTACGTGTGCCTCAGCCGTGGCTCTCTGTGTGTTTCTTTGGGCACTGGTGCCAGCTGAATCAGTCCCAGGTCACTTTTCCTTCCCGCAGTGTTCCTGCAGTCCCACGGGTATGTGCAGCCTCTCAATGCACCATGTTTGGGAACTTACTAAGAACAGAAACGTCACTGAGTTCCTTGTTGCGGGGTGGTTCCCTTGGCACCCCCACCAAAGACAGGGAATGCTAAACAGCCCTCAGGTCTCCAGAGCTCCATTGCCCTTTGTCAGGTACCTGCCAGTTCCTCCTTTCTGTGCAAAGCGAGGCCATGTGGGAGCACACACCTGGCTCTGGGTGATGTGCAGGAGCACACGTGTCATAGTGATCATCACTCATGATCATTTAACTACCATGAGTAAGGTATAAAGCCATTTCCTTCTGTTCTTACCAGCAATAGCTGCTATCCAGGACAGGCAAAGAGATTATATTGGAATTTTTCCTTGTCTTTTTTTCAGGGTCATTTTTCATTTTTGTTTTCTCAAAGTGCTTTTTTTTCCATAACCAGGATGATCTTCCCACCATTTTGAGGGTTAATTGCCAGCAGGCAAAGGCTGTTTACCTCTTTTAGAAACCCCAGTTACAATCTAACCAGTGAGCCCTACTATGAAAAATACACAGCAAGACCTCCTTGAGCTGCCCATCTGTCTGTGAGCTTTCCTTAGCCAGTTCACATTTTCTTTTGGATTTGGGAGTGTAATAGGGACAGCTCAAAGCAGTTGCTAGCAGTGATGATCAGCAGTTTCTGTGGGTAAGTAGATGAAAGCCTGTTAAAACGCAAAGCTGCTATAGTTTCTGGAGGTTCAGTAGGCCAATGAAGTGTTGCAGGGTAACTGCATGGTGTGTCATGAGGAATTGCGCTGTGCCTGTTCTTTGTTTTTCTTCTGTATTCTTGGCAGGAAAGCCAGGGCAGATTTCACATAGTGCAGGAGCATGTATGTGCACTGGGCACTTCCTGAGCGAAGGTGCAAGGTGGATGCTGTAACCGCAGACGTGGTCAGATGCAAAGGATGCTCTATTTTATTTTCCTCCCCTCTAATTTTTATTCCCCAGAAGGTGTTACTTAGAGATGTTACCGAAGAATGGACTGTTGTGTAACCATGCTGGCTCACATGCCTGCCCGTGCCCCTGCATCTCACTGTCCCACCAGCGAGGCTGCTGGCGATGGTGCTCCAAACTTAGGACTTTCTAATGAGTCTCCCAGATTTTTCTGCTTGCATCACTGTCCTGCCTTCAGCAGTGGGAAAAGGAAACAGCACAGCTTCTGAGTTCCTTTGTGATTAGTGCTGGCTGCCGCTCACTGGGAAGCATGGTTCATCCAGGCAGTTTGCGTGGCGTGAGCTCCCTCCCGGGGCTGCTCTCACGGTTGTCATTCCTGGCTCCCTTCTCTCACCTTGCCCTAGATATTTTTTCTTCCAAGTAACATAATGCTTTTCAGTCACATTTTTAAAGCTCCACATAAGGGAGGAGAGGCAGGAGCTGAGACGTCTCCTTCCAGTAGGCTTGCTTCAAGTTCTGCTGTTTGCCCAAGCCAGCTGCCCTGCTTGTTTAAAAACCAATCCATCCTGTTGGCGACTGGCCCTGTGGTATGCGCCTTTGCTGAAGTAGTTTTCAAAGAAGGGTGAAACACCCTTAAAGGAACTGTTGCATTTAATCTTCAGCAAAGCCAAAAGGCAGATTCTGGGTTCTTTTTGGGTTGCAGATGTATTGCAGAATAGAGACATCAAAAACCTTTTGCAGGAGGGAAGCCCTGACACAGTTGAAATTCTGGTAGCTTGGTAAGATCTTGAGGGGGAAGAAGCATAAGGGCCTCACACGATGCCACTTGGCTCACTGGGCAGCTTTCAGTGTCCCTCCTGGCAGGTCAGGCTGGTCCACTCCAGCTGGGCTGAGTCAATGTGCTGGAAAACTGTACTGCAAGTGAGATTGACTAATTGAATTGTAATCCATATTTTTAGACAAACATTGAGCATTACAGTATTTAATTTACCAGCATCTTTTCAGGACAGATTGCCAGTCATCTTAAATCAATAATATGTCACCAGCGTTTCCCAGGGACCCAGTTTGTGCTGAGTCTTCCCTTTCTAAAGCCTTGTCAATACAGAGAGAGTACTTAAATTGTCTCAGTTCTGTTCCAGAGCAGCACTTTGTCCAGCCCTTTGCTTTTTAATTGGAAAAAACCCGTCTTGCTATTCCAGGATAATATCCACACAGCTGGTAATTAAAGTAATTATCCCAACATGGTTTCTTCTGCTATGGCTGTTCTGGTTTCTGTCACAGGCATGGGAAGATGACCTGAGGAGATGCGCTGAAGTCAATTGACTTTAAAAGGGGGGAAGAGAAAGTCTGTACAGAATTTTCCTCAGAAAGACGTGTCTGAGAGGAAGAGTGTTCTATTAGTGCAGCATACAGTACTTGTACACACATGCTAATCACACCCAACCGGGAGTAAGTTATGCTGATAGAAACTCTTTATTGCAAAGTGATGTTAAAGTCCCATTAGTTCTACAACACTGAAATGTGCAGCTTTCATCTCGGAGCAAGATCTGTGCTGTGGCAGAGCTGACAGCCCAACATGATCTGCAGAAATGTTTGGTCTGTGGCACTGGTCAGTCCCACTCTTGCTCACCCATATCAGTGCCCAGGGCAAATACTGGGGGGGGGGGAAGGGGGAATATTTCAAATTTATTTCTGAAAAATTTGCATCACATTTGTGGGTCTTTCTTCTTTCCATCTGCTGTTTAATACTAAGATTTCCTTCCTCTGGAGCAGGCACAGGTTGTTACAGAGGGATTGATAGGGTCTTTCTGAGAAGGCAGCTTGTTTTGTAAGGCAATTAAGAGGAGTAATGAGATTGTATCGATGTGCTGAATGGAAAAAGCCTACGCGCGGCCATACGGATTAGGGCAGGCTGGCGAAGCAGCAAATGGGCCTGTGCACTATTGCGCGTGGAGGACCTGAGGAGCACAAGCTAGCAGTGATGTACAGGTTGGCACTGTGTATGCCCTGTGCGCCCAGGGTCTGTGCTTCCTTCTAGGCGATACAAAGAGATTGGATCAGTGACAGTCCTGGGAAAATCTTAATGAAATTACAGATCCCAAGGAGGAGTGTCTTACTGAGTGTGTACTGCTTTGAAATATACTTGTGCCTGGATCCCAGAGACAGCATGTCCTCTGTGCAGTGCTAATGCCGTGCATATAGCTGATCCCACTGATTAATGTGAATTCTCAGCACTAGTTTTGCATTAATCCAGAGAGCTGGGGTTTCTACAGCTTAACCTGCTTCAGAGAGCAGCTGATATTTCTGCAGTCACTGCAGACTGATGGCTGATACTCTGTGGTTTCCAGCCAGTGAAGTCCTCTAAAAAATGCATCAGTTGGAGAACCTTGCTGCTGGGAAGGGGCCTTGCTGACCTGCTCAGTGCTGCCAGCTGCTGCGGGGCCTTGTGGCTGTTGCTTTAGATGGAGACTGTTGGGAACAGGGAGAGGGTGCAGTTAATTCCAGTAGCATTTTTGGTTTGTGCAGTATATATTGACAAGAGAAATATGGAAATGAGTTCTACATTTGGGGAGTGAGCTGTGAGTTAGCTGGTAGTTGTTTTAGGAGTAAGGCATGAGTAGTTGTGTGAATAGAATAATCCGGGGCGCTACCCCGTGTTTAAGAGGAGCTGCTGTGTCCAGGGGGAGCAGAAGCACGCACCATTACCGCTTGTTTGCTGGGCGAATCACAGCGGGTTCGTCCCACGGGTCCCAGGGCCGTTTGCCGCGGCCGGAACGTGCGTTTGGTCTGAATTCACCGGGAGCAGATTTCCCTGCGGACGCCGGCTCCGGGCCGCCGCGGGGTGGCGCTGGCGGGCGCTGGGTTCTGCGTCCGCGTCTGCCCGGGCCGGGGTTGCCGGGCAGGGAAGGGGCGAGGCCTCCCACCCGGCACGGGGCGCCCTTCTCGGGGGCGGGGCCGTGGTGCTCAGCGGAGGGCGCGGCTCCTTTTCGGTTGGGGCCGGGCTCAGGTGTGGTGGCGCAGCCATGCGGGCGCGGGGCGGGAGCCATGCACTGGGAGCGTGCGCTGCTGCTCCGCCGCAACAACAAGGTACCGGGACCGTTAGCGGAGCGGGAGACGTCGGGGCTCGGTCAACGTGCGCGGTTCTTGCGGGCTGGAACAGCGCTTAACTTGGGAGGGAACAGCGGGGTTTGTGCCCTGGCAAGTGCCACCTGCCGAGGCCCCTGCTCGCAGGCTCGCCGCTCAGGAGCGGGCTCCGGGGGGCTCTGTCTCTGCTTTAAGCTCTGGCCGTTGCAGACCCTCTGGTTTCACGTTGCTTTCGTGCAGTAGGTAAAGCCCCGGTAATAACCGGGGTTTGCCATACACTGATGTGTGTGGGTTTTGCTCTTCCACAGTTACCTTCTCTGTCTTTACTCACCAGCTGACAGAGCTGATGGCCTCGCACCAACGCTTCAGACAACGCAGCCTGCCAAACGTGGGTGCCATGTCTTTATCTGTGTTGAGTTTTTGGTTGTTTGAGGCCATTAAGCTGCCTTAAGCACAAGAGGTTTTGCTTTTTTTCTCAGCTTTTACTGGATGTCTGTAAAGCACATGAAGCTCGGTTGGTACCATGCCCTGGGCAGCTGAAAAAGGATGCATTTCCGCAGAATTACATCTGCTTGTCAAGTGTGTTAGAACAAAGAAGGAAGGGGTTTATATTAGTGAAGCTGGTGATTAGCACTTACATGTCTCTCTCTCCTCACCTAGATTGAGCGGTTGGACGTGAGCAGCTTAGCACAGACCTCCAGTGCCGTGGCCTCGAGCACTGATGGAAGCATCAACGCAGACTCTGTTGATGGGACCCCAGATCCTCAGCGTACAAAAGTGGCTATTACACACCTGCAGCAGAAAATACTGAAGTTGACCGAGCAGATCAAAATTGAACAAACAGCCCGTGATGACAATGTGGCAGAGTACCTGAAACTGGCCAATAACGCAGACAAGCAACAAAGCGCCCGCATTAAGCAGGTGTTTGAGAAGAAAAATCAAAAGTCAGCCCAGACTATCTTGCAGCTGCAGAAGAAACTAGAACATTACCATCGAAAGCTGCGAGAGATTGAGCAGAATGGGATCCCTCGGCAGCCGAAGGATGTCTTCAGGGATATGCATCAGGGTTTGAAAGATGTTGGAGCAAAAGTCACTGGCTTCAGCGAGGGAGTAGTAGATAGTGTGAAAGGTGGGCTTTCCAGTTTTTCCCAAGCCACCCATTCAGCAGCAGGAGCTGTGGTTTCCAAACCTCGGGAGATTGCCTCCCTCATAAGGAACAAGTTTGGGAGTGCAGACAACATTGCTAATCTGAAAGACTCCTTAGAAGAAGGCCAGGAAGATGGGACAGGAGGCAAGGCTTTAGGTGTTATTCAGAACTTTCAGTCAAGCCCAAAATATGGCAGTGAGGAGGATTGCTCCAGTGCCACATCGGGTTCTGTGGGAGCCAACAGCACAACAGGGGGCCCTGTGGGAGCTTCTAGCTTCAAAACAAACACTCTGGATATGCAGAGCTCAGGGTTTGATGCAATACTGCATGAGATTCAAGAAATTCGAGAGACACAGGCAAGACTGGAAGAATCATTTGAGGACCTTAAGGTTCGCTATCAGAGGGACTACTCGCTAATAATGCAGACACTGCAGGAGGAGCGGTACAGGTAGGTGTTTTGGTACTGTGTTTTGAATTAAATACTGCAAGTTGCAGGGCACCAGTCCTGGACAGGACTACTCAGCGGGCTGTTCCCAGCAGCCTGATTCAGATGGGAAGCTCTGTGGTCTTAGGATTTTGCTCTTCCTTCCAGCTTTGTCTTTTGTAAATATTGTTGTCTTGCTGCTCATCTCCCTTTCTGTGTAAGAAAGAAATAGCGAGGAAGAAAGGTTACTTTGTAGTGTTTTCAAGATACAAAGTTAAACAAAAGAGGTTTAGAACAGTGTCCCAAAAGGCCAGGAGTATATTGATGCCGTTACTGTTATCCAGACAGAGCATTTCCCTGCAAAAACCTTGCAAAGCTTTGGGTCAAGGCGAGAGGCAGGGAACTATGGTGGGCAGTATCCTGACCTGCCTCCTCCAATGCTCAGATCCGTAACTACCAGAGAAAGAAAGATCCAGCTTTCTTAGGGTTCTCAAAAAAAGACATGGTCTTGCCGAAACTAGACTATCCTCTTCCCTCCTGCACTCAGCCCCATAGAGGCAGGGTTCAATGAAATTGAACAAAATTAAATGCAAATATTGGCAGTGCTCTTGTCCTGGAGGTCACTTGGCTCTGGAAGTGGGTAATCTGTGTTTCTGTCAGCCTGCCCCTTGCTGAAAGGAATGGAAGGGCTGGGGAGTTGCTGTGGTACTGCTGTCCCTGATCAGGTCACAGAGGAGAGGTGAAGAAAGAGTGTGGTGTGGCAGCCAGTTCCTCCTACCACCTCCAGGCTACCCCCACCTTTCTGCCAAGGAAGGCAACCCATGGAGAGGTTCCAGGGAGCACTTTCGCTTTCCCTTCCTTGTTGGGTGGGAGAGAGCTTTCAGCAGGCTGCCCTGTGCTGTACATGTCTTGCATCCTCCCTGTCACACACTGGGAGCAAGGGCTTGTCCCCAGGCTCCAGAGGGAAGAGTTACCAGCTGCCCTTCTGTAGCCATTCAGGACACTGCAGTCTAAATCAGTGGGATTCTTAAGCTGCACTTCTTAAACTTCAGACAACTGCAAGGGGCCCAAGTCGTCATTCTGATGGAGGACAGCAGGCTTTTATAATAGGTTGCTTATGGCCTTTGTCACTTTGGCCAGGCTGTGAAGCACAACCTGCGAGGCTCAGCAAAGCTGCTGGGTGTGGGGACAGGTACTGTGTGCCACTTGCTGCATTGGTTTGCACAGCACGACATGAAGCTGCCCTGCAGCTCTTTAGACAAACTGGTGCCAGATTGCTGGAAAAACATTTGGAAAGGCTTAGCCTGATAGGATCTTGTAGAGACAGCAAGCTTTCTGTGTGCTTTGCAAAGCTTGGATAGACAAAGCCAGCCCAACACCACTTCCTAATCCTGCTTTGCAGCAATCAGCGATTTGGCTGAGAGCGGCGCCCAGCACAGCAACTTTGGTTCCTAGTGCTTCATTGTCACCAGGTCACATAACAGTGTTGTGCGGAGTTTGATCTTCTGTTCCCCAGCAGAGGGTCCTGTTGTCTGTTGTGTGTAGGTTGTTGTTTCCCACATACAGCAGCAGGCATTCATGGTGGAACACTATATGCAAGCACTGTTCAGCTGAAGGAGTGGTCTGAAAGTATAACAGAAGACCTTGGGGACTGATGTATGTTGTTGGCTAAACTGGTTAGTTATTCCCTGACACCACATAGCAGGGTTCATGTAGGTCCTCATGCTTGTGCAGTATGAAGCCTTATCTGTTGTGTGCTGTTAACCTTTACTGAGGTGAGCCTAGAGCCTAACCACTCACCAAGACAGCTTGGAGTGAAAAGCTTCCAGGAGAATCTGTATTTGGTTTATAAATGTTTAAAAAGATAGTAATTTAGACCTGCCATTTGGAATGTTGCTGTGAATTAATTAAAGGTATGACCTTTAAAGAGGACCAGTTAAGGGCACATGAAGTGCCCTTGTCCCTGCAGACTCAGAGGAGAGCAGGTAACTGCATGATCTGAGGAGCTCATGGGTTAATCACAGTGAGATTAACACCTTATTGTACAAATCTAGATTCTGGTTTGATACCTTCTATACTTTAAACCATCACTAAGATTAAAGCAAACATCACCCTGAGACCTGGAAGGTTAGCTGATATGTCTGAGGGCAGAGGGGGATTCTGCCTTGGTGGAGGTGGCTGGCTCCTGTTTCTCTGAGCAGGAACCCCTCTGTTCCCCAGCTCTCTTCAGAAAAAATGAGAAGATGGGAATGAAGGTTGTGGTTTGGAGCTGGGGATTCAAATTAATCTTAACTGGCTTTAAAAGCCAGTTATAACTTTGCTCTACTTCTGGGAAGCTTTCAAAAACAAGCACTGAGTTCAGTTAGAGCTTAAAAGAAGTATTTTGGAGAAGCCTTTACTCATAGGGCAACACTGAGTGTGTTGTACCTGGAAGCTGGAGCAAAGCAGGTGCCATGACATTTTCTGACCTGGTCTTTGTCCATTTCCTCTTTCTTAGATGTTTTTTCTTGCAGGTCCTGATCTTTTTTCCTTGTGTGTTTGTGCAATTTCTGTTTATCAGCCATGGCTCACTTTGCACATTTTCCGTGGCCGCTTCAATCTCTTCCCTCTCCCTGCTTCCAGACCTTTCATATCAATCTGCATAGCTGCTGGTTTGTGAGCTGGCTCCAGGCAGGGACTTGCTGGTGCAGTCACTCCAGTTCTGCCGCCCTGGTGCTGCGGTGTGGGGCTGTGCTGCCCTGCCTGCCTGCTGGCAGCATGTGCCAGCCCCGGAGCACTGCAGCCGGGCTGAGTCACAGAGGAAGGAAGATGCTGGCGGTGCCTTGGCCCTCATTGTGCTTCTTGTGCACCAGGAGCAGGCGCTGGGTTGCCTGTTGCTTATCTCATTGGTGGGAAGGTGCCGGTTGTTTACTGATACGAGCAGGGACTTTCTGTGCTGTTGAGACTGAAATAAAGTTCCTGCTGAGTATTTTCATCTTGTGTGTCCCTTCAGGAACCTGTTTGTACGCAGTGAAATCATGAGCTCATGTAGTTGGAACGTGGCCAGCCTGAGGGTTTGGGTTTCTTCCCAAGCCTGGTATCCTTGGAAAGGATATTTAGGTCTCACATGTTCCTGTCCACAGAAATCCATCAGCTGTAATGCTAGATGCTGGTGCAGTCATTTATCTGATTGTTGCTGAAGTCCAATTGTTGGACTTCAGTCTGTTCTCACATAAACCAGATCAATCCTCTGAGGTCTAGGGGGGTTGAAGAGGCCATGCTGGAGCGTGGCCGGCAGTGAGGGCAGCGTGTTGGGTCAGGCAGGTGCTCACCCAGCTGTGAGTTTCTTTACTCACCAGAATACGTACTGAGTGCAGATAAAATGTCATTTTCATCTCTTCTGTCTCTTACATATGCTGTATTAGTCATGTATATTACAGCTATTACTTTAAAATGCCATAAAGCCCTTAAAAAAGAATAAACGTGGTGGCCATTACTGTGTTTAGCCTTTCCCAGATAAGATCCCCGGTCCCCAAGCAGTGAGCCTCAGAGAACATGTGGAAGTCTGACATGGCTTTTTTGAATAGAATGTTTCCATATTTCACACTCCAGCCAAGCACCCACCTCTGATGTTCTCCAAGGTACTCGTGACAGTTGGCACTAGGCTTTTACGCAGCAAAGTTTCGGTGCAGGAGCATGTCAATCTAGAGGCTAGTAATACTTGAGGAGAAAATTCACATTTTAGCTAGTGGAAAAATAATTCTTGGACTCCAGTGAGGAATTTACTGGACGTAAAGTGGAATTCATCATTCAAGGCAGTGCAGTATTCACAGACAAGTTAAAGTCTGTTGCTTAGACTGGCACTCATGTTAGAGAGGGAAGTGTGAGTATAATCTTAACCCTCTTGAGAAGTGGTCTTTCTGTAATACCTCTGAATTAAATGTGAACCATCCTTCAGCAGGAAAACCCTGGCTTTGGGCTCTGTAAGTCACATGAACCCCTCTTAGCTTGTCAGATTTGAGCACCAGTAGAAAACAGCAAGGAAAACTTTTTCTGAATTGCAGATAATGGCACAAGGAGTGAAAAGGAGGTAAATGGAGGAAGAGTAATTTCAAAATCAAGTGTGAGAAGGGGGTGTGCTGTTTTGTTTTCTAAATAACCCAATTCCAGCAGCTCCCTACCACCAGTTTTTGAAAGTGAGAGTGGTTCTTGGGTATAAACTGCAGCAGCTCTGGGGTCGAGCAGGGAGGTGAAGCATGGTTCAGGAGCAAGCTTGTAGTCCTGCAGACAGGGCAGGAGCCAGGCCTCTTGCAAATAACACTGTACTTAAACTCTTGCCTATACAGATTTGCAGTGTTTCCTTGTGTTTCCTGTAGATTGAGGTAGTTTTGAAGTTGTGAAAATACAATTGTTTCTTGCTAGAGAACAGGATTTAAGCTGCCTGGAAACAGCTGCTTTCTGAAGGAAGGAGGTTAAAAGGCATAATCATGATATTTTCAGAAATGCTCAAGTCCCTTTTTGTGTAATAAACCCCCTTGAGATTTTTGTAATCTATTAACAAAGTGAATATATTTCAAATAATTGATGCTGCTTTTTGATGGGTTTACTTGTGGTTTCCTCTTGGTGGTTGGCAAGCTGGTTTGGTTTAAGTTGGGTGGGAACAAATGGCAGTATTAATTACCTCCTTCTTTAGCCAGTCTTTCCGTGGCTATTCCCTTGTTTGCAGCTTGTTGTTCCTGAGAGGTCAGTTCTCTCGTGTGTCCTCTCATTGCACAGCTCTTGTGGCACCTCCTGGCCTGAGCTGGGTTAGCTGGCAGCTGTCTCAGCCTCACTGCTAGTTGACCACATGTGTTTCATTGCTGGAAATGGTCATGCTATGGCTGACTCCTCCTTAGTTTGAAGCAATATTGCATTGGGAATGGAAATGGAAGTTCTCTTCAGGCTTTTCAATTAAAAACAAAACCCAAGACTGCTTTTAAAGGCAAGCTTTTGCCTACACAACCTGAATATTTAGCTTGTGGAGCACCAAAAAAACTGATTAAAAAAAAAAAACCAAAACCCAGAAGCAGGATTTTTGCCTTGGTTTTAGAACTTGTAATTAAATTCATCATTCTAGATAAATGTTGTTGATTCATTTCATATGCGTGTATATGAATTAAATTCAGATGGAGTCAGAGGGAAACTGAAATTAAAATGAGGAATTATCTCTTTGTTGAATTCCTTAGAAACTTCTCAGCTATTAGTATCAAGGGTCAGATGATAAGAGCTGTATGGTAAGCCTTTTCCATGCTGTTACAACAAAGAGTGGGAAAACCCCACGGCCACAGTAGCTGTACCCATTCCTTAGTTACTAGCACTTGTAATGAAGCAGGAGTGAGAAGCAGGCGGGAAGAATGGTGGAAGGGGTGATGTGGATGGTGCCCTGCTCACTGCTCCCAGCCTCTGGCTGCAGCCTCACTCTGTGTGTGTGTTACCTTTTGGAAGTAATAGCAATAATTGCCTGATTCTGAACGGGTATTGAAGCAGAAGTTACTTGTAAATACGGACTTTGAATTTAAAAAATGAAGCACTACATACAAATGCCAAAGTATCCCTAATATACTTTGAAAGTGCTAAAACAACAGGATGGAGGTATCATTGAAGTCAATTTAGAACTCCCTCAATGAGGAGCAGCATGGCATCTCTCAGAATTGTTGTAACTCAGGACTGCTCCCAGGCCACTCATAGGACCAAACTGAAAAATAAGCCTGCAGGTTAATGATTCATGTGCCCTCCTTGTGACCAGTGTGATGGTCTTTGATAGCTGACCTGCATCATTTGTGGGAGATAAAAAATAAGTCAGATATCCATGTGACCTCACATGCAGAGATCAGTCAGGGCTGTCGTGTTCTCTGAGGCATCATCACATTTCCTGTCTGTGTCATTTCTGTGCCTGCACTGTTCAAGTGTAGATGGAAATGCTTAAGAGCTTATGGTATTAGAAGGGAACTGTTGGCTTTACACTGAAGTTTGGGGAATAACTTGCTCTATTCTAATTCTGTCCTTGACAGTTGGTATTTAACTGCTGTGTTTTCCCCCAGGACAAACACTGCCTTACCTGGTAGAAAGGATTTCCTTAATTCCCAGTGAGAGGGCCTTACACTGTAATGCACATGTGTGTAATGACTGAGATGCCACAAAGTTGGCAGTAAAAAGTCAATGATGATCATTGTTTGATTGTTACTGGTGTAACTTTGTCATCCTCCTCTCATTAAAGCTACTGTACTGTGTGTCATTTCTAGATGTGAAAGACTGGAAGAGCAGCTAAATGACCTGACTGAGCTCCATCAGAATGAGATCCTCAATTTAAAACAGGAGCTGGCCAGCATGGAGGAGAAAATTGCCTATCAGTCTTACGAGCGAGCCCGGGACATCCAGGTGGGTGACAGAAGCAAGGAGACTCAAGTCCTGCCTTCAGCCTGCTCTTTCTGTAGCTCATTCAGTTTTGAAAGACTTCTGTGGTTCAATATTTGATTTTAATCCTCGTAGCTTTATTGCTAAACTCCATATGGAGAGTTCTGTAAGGGCCTTTATTCAATCTCTGACCCCCTGGTATCTCTCCAAGGAACTTCTCCTGTGATGGCTGTGCCAGTGCAGCAGCAACAGGCTCACCTGCAGGGGAGCCTTCCCCTCCCTCCAGAGCAGTGGTTTTAATTCAGGTGTAGCAAAGTGGAAGCCTGCAGCCGTGTTTTGCACAGATTTTGGAGGGCCGTGTTTGAAAGCGATGGGACGTGACCTAAGCACCTTTTTTACAGTAGTGTTTCCACTAAGCAGACCCTATGGTGTGTTCCTGTGTCACTAATTTTACAGCAGTGGTCACATATAGCTAAGGGAAAATGGTTTTGGGTATCCACTGCATTGAGTCAGAAAACAATTATTTCTGCTGGTTTTGCCCAAACAAGGAGGTGTTTTTAAAAGAGAAATTTCTTTCAGTATGCACAAGACCAAAGCTATGGAAACAGAGGTAATGAAGTTGTAGGGTTTTCCACAGAGCAAAAGACGTGGGAAATAATCTGGGCAGATGCCAAATCTAAAAAAGAAAGGCCTGTTCAGAAATGGGTCTATCATCCATTTTAAGTGCTTGTTGTGCTAGTTTTAGCAGGCATCTCTGTTCTGATCGCTGATGAGAGATATTTATAAGTGTGAGCAGAGCACTGTGGGCCAGAGTTCTGCCTCTTTCCAACCCCTCGAGGTGCTGCAGCCAGGTGATTTCCTCTGCAGACACAGCAGGCTGTGCTTTTGGCACACTTGTAGATCCAGCTGCAAGTCCAGTTGAGTCCATGTCCTTCCAGGCTGCCCGTGGTGAGAACTGGCTGAGCAGTTTTGCCCTGTGCTTTCATGGGCTGTTACTGAAGAGAAGCCCTCATGGTTCATTGACCTCCACTGACATGATGCAATCACAGAGAAATGTAACAGGTGACAATGACCTTTAAGATGAGGTTAAAGTAAATCAGTGTCTGTGGACATTGTGCCATGGCCTCTGATAGAGTAAACAGGAGCCTTTCCCTTGGGGGAATGTTACAATACTCAAGTTTTGTTCTCCTCTCCAATTTAACACAGCAGGAAGAAGAAAGGTTCAAAACTTAAACTGAGGTGGGGATTTCTCAATAGTTTAGTCTTCACTAAAAGCGCTGAATCGTAAAGCAGGAACTTGCAAATGGGGTCAGACTATTCCTCAGCATTGCTGGGGAAAAGGTTAAGTGTTGAGTTTTCTTGCATGAAAAACTAGTTAAGAGCATGGGCTGATGCTGCAGAGGACCAGAGTCCTGGTTCCTTTTGCAGTGATCAGTCTGAGAGAGACTGCTGCTTGCTGCAGATTTCTAGATGTTACCTGATGGTGGCCTTTATGTCTGAGAAAGGTAACACTGAGGGAGCGTTAACGGAAAAGTTGTAACTTGGTATCTCCAAGAGCAGAAATGTCTCACTGCATTAATTGCCTTAAAACCTCTCTTCTCCCTAGCCCACCCACTGCAAGTCATCAGTGTTGTACTGTGGATTGTGTTGGTCCTCTTGAGGTTCAACATGGTGAAATGTCCATAAGCAATCACCCCAAGTCAAAAGTTTAGAGATGTTTTGTCCAGGATAGTCTCTTCCTTCCACATAGTTTTGGTTTGCCTCTTCCTAGAGGCAGTTTCCTAAATCTCATGCCTCGTACCCATCTCCTAGACAGCTTCCTTCTCCAGCCCTTGCAGTGTCACCCAGAGCTATGGCAATGCCACACCATGCTGCTGTGCAGCCCCAGCCTTAGTACTTCTCAAACCTTTCCCTGAGCTCGTGCTCACTAAGCAAGCAGAATGTGGCCAAGCCTTTTTGGTTAGTTGTTTCTGTTGACTTAGTTTTCTGCCAGGTTGACTAGAGAATTGAATGGGCTTACAGAAGGGTTGGATAAACACAAGCAAGGAAAGTGATGAAAATGGGAGGCTCTGGGAACGTGCATCCCAGAAGAGGAGGAAGAGTGCTTGCCAGACATAGCACCTTTGTCCCCTCAGTGGTCCCTTGAAACCAAAGCAGAAGTGAGCAGCCCACCAGGTAACACCCCCCTTTCTGACAAAAGCTGATTGCTGAGGGCTGTCAGCATCCTGTTCTCTCTGGCTCCCATGGTAAGGCAGGAAGGATGGTAAAGTCTCAGGTGACCACTGCACCACACATGCAGGGACAGGCAGCCAGCTGACAGTGCAAAGTGGCAGCTGAAGCTTTTAAGGAAGCCTGACTTGTACCCAGCCTGTCACCTTTGTCAAGCCTCTCTGGTGTAAATGAGATGGTGCATTGCAGACTGCAGCACCTAGTTGAGGGGCTCCTCACCCTCCTTGGCACAGCTTCCTGCCCTCCTGCTGCAGGATATGAAATCAGTGCAGTGACTCATGTCCTGCTTAAGGAGGGTGGCCCTGGTCTGGCCTTGTTGGTGAGGTCACAGCCATGGGCTGGCACTGTGGAGCACTGGCAACCCAGCTGTGTGTTCTTGCTGGCAGGAGGCACTGGAAGCGTGCCAGACCCGTATCTCCAAGATGGAGCTGCAGCAGCAGCAGCAGCAAGTGGTGCAGCTAGAGGGGCTGGAGAACGCCACGGCCAGGAATCTGCTGGGGAAGTTCATCAACATCCTCCTGGCCGTCATGGCCGTCCTCCTCGTCTTCGTCTCCACTGTGGCCAACTGCGTCGTGCCCCTCATGAAGACTCGCAATAGGACGTTCAGCACTTTATTTATAGTGGTTTTCATTGCCTTTTTGTGGAAGCACTGGGACGCCATCACCGGCTACTTGGAACGGTTCTTCTCTCCCCCCAGATGATGGCGGCAGGAATCGGCTGCGTCGCGTCCCCGGCGCTCTTGGTGAGCTCATGTGGCAAAGATTAGTCAGCAGCTACTGCGCTGAAGTTTTAAAGTGTCCGAGTGAATTTGTTTACATTTAGAATAACGTTTTTTCTCTGCAAGACGCATTGCAATAGTATTTTTTAGATTTTACTCAAGAACTTTTTGGCGAGAATCCTGGATAATTTTTATGTAGCATGGTTCTCTTTGGATGCAAATCTTAAAATTCTTTAAAGTGTACAAAAGAAATAAATAAAATACAGAAATTTGGAGCATACCAATGGGCAATTTAAATTGTGGCTTGAACTACTGTACTAAACCTGTCAGGAAGAAGAGAACGTGGTTAGCTTAAGATGCGCAAAGCTAAATCTAGTGCACAGCCTTGAATGATGGTACCACAGCAAACCTGTAACACTAAACCTTTACTGTGAAGTCTGCTCACATTCCATGTCCAAATGTATGCGTTCAGAGTGGTTTCTTTCCTTAACAAGAGAAAAACAACGACCTGTGGATCTCCTTCCCAGCTCGGCGTCTGGGTTCGCCATTTGTGCTAACCTGACTTACAATAACTGTCTGTAAGGCTGCCTAACTTGGCTAAGCAAATGAAGTGGAAGCCTCATGCCATACACAGTAACTGCACAGTCGTGCTACAGTATTTTGAAGTAGTCCTTGAAATACTTACCTTTAAGCAGAAGCCCTTGGTCGCACTTTTAAGGTTTTTTTTATATGTGTATAGTCACAGATTAAAAAAAAAAATCCAAACAGCATACTTGAAGAGTGTAATACTCCAACTCTCAGTGCTTCCTTATTGTTTCTAATAGGAGTTTTTATTATAATTATTATTATTATTATTATTATTGGGGTTTGTTTGTTTTGGTTTTGCGGGGGGGTTTTGTTGTTTTGGTTTTTTTTTTAAGGGGTTGGGGTGGTCATTACTTTTTTTTTTCCTTTTTTTTTCCTTTTAAATAAAGAAGTGATGTTTTTAAATGAAGAAATGCGTGAACAATTGTGAGCCGTCTTGTCCTGAAACAGTTTTGAGGATGGCAGAGGGTAGTTTTTAGTGCCAGCCTAGCAGGAGTGCAGCGCTGTTCCTATGCCATTTATCTGCCTCCTGAGTGTACAGATGCAGCATCATGAGTAACATGTCTCCACCCATTGTTGTCATGCAGGGCTTTTTTCCCTCTTCCCTTTTCCAGATGTGAAGGAGAGTGTGTTTATCATTTGCTTGTCATCAGTCAATCCTGGCCTCAGGATAAGAATAAGGAATTTTTGTTCATTCCTTCCTGGGGAAAAGACAGGTTCTTTTAAGGAAAGAAATACTAAATCAACAGCCCACTTAAAAGAATGGTTGTCTCAGAATTATCTTATTTAATTTTTAAATAACCCCCTAAAAAGTGAAACCAAAGTTTTCCTCCTGTCAGGCTCTGGTAAGATTATTTGTGTGTCTGTGTCAAGGTCTTTGTACACTGTATTTATGTGGTATGCCATAGAGAGCATCCTCTTTCTCAGCCACGGGGGCAGGTACTGGGTGTAGATACCTTTCCAAGGCTCTAAAGGAAATGTCAGCTTAACTGTAACTGTCACATCCTAGCAGGTCACCACCACGTGCTGGTGGTGGTGATCTGCTGGTACTGGCAGCCACGCTTCGTGTGCGGGGAAGCTGCGTTCACTCTGTGCTCGTTTTTTAACTGGTGTCCCTTTCACCAAGCCAAGGTTCAACTTTGTCCCCATGGAATCCAAAAAGAGTCCAGGATTCTCTTTCAAAGTTAGATCTTATCTTTAAATTAGGACTTACTTTTCCTTCCTTCCAGGCTTAAGTTCCTTTTAGGAACCAAATGTTGCCCAAGTGACCTAAACCAGTTAAAGTCATACCTATACATACATGGAACATGCACATCACATGTAGGCACACAGAAGCCTGGGGTTTTGTGCTGTGATGCAAATTGTGGGTTCTGAGAAATTCCCTCAGAGTAGGTAAACAACTTTGAGGGTCTCTGATTGCGAGCAGGGATAAGCCCTCCACCATCCCACCATCCTTCTCCCTTCAGAGATGCTGTGTGTTGTGTGTAATCACAGGAAACTCAGGTACCTCCTCCCCAGGGACCCCAGCACCCACCTGTCACTATGTGCACTGTCTGCTCCTGTCCTACTTAAAACACAAATTGCCAGTTGCAACTGACTCAAGCCAAAAATAATCAGCTTTCTACAGAGTTGTAGATAGAGCAAAGATTGCATAAATATTCCCTCCCTCAGCCATGCCTCTAGCTCCAGGGAGATTCTGTTCTGTTTAGTACCCTTCTTGGGCTGATTCAAGGGATACAGGTAGCTATCATTTTCCTGTTATGTAGTTTTTATCAGAAACAAAGGTGTGAATAACTCTTAAGAACTGGTTTGGCACATGACTTCGTTGCCTTTATTTCTGAAACCCTGCCTTTGCACCCATTTTTCTGAGATTTGATCACTCTAGAATTGCTCAAGCAGGAAGGAGTTGAGAGCCAATGGATCTGGACACACAGTGCCACTCGTCTGTAGTATTTGAAGGAAGTGTTTGTCCCTCCTTTTGTTTATATCCTAATTTAATTTAGTGTCTGAACTCTGTGTAGTCTTCAGTAAATACCACTTGCTACTCTGCCAGAAGGCGCAGGCTTAATAGAAACATATCACCTCAAAACTGTTTGGTGAAGGCCATGTACATATGGTTCTGGACAATGTCTGTCTGTCTGTCTGTCCCTTTCTCTCTCGACAGTTTCTTCCATTCCAGAAAGTTGTCTGCAGTAATGCCATTATGATGCTGCATCCACTTCTCATATCCCAACACAACTGCCATGTGTTTCACCTTTTGCGTTAGCAGAATGTTTTGGGGTTTTTCTCCCTCTTCAATTTGAAGGTCTGTGATGATTTCTGATAGCTTAACAATGGTCATATTGTTGGAAATGTGATTCTAGCTTTAAAGCTCCCTTTCTTTGTAAGTGGTTGTGTTTGCTTTCTTGATGAAGCATTTCTGGATGATGTGTAGAAGACAGTTCCGCTACGGGTGGGTGAGTGTGCGTGTGAGTACCTTTCATTAGCCTTCCTTATGGATGTAAACTTTTTAGTGACCGTCTCTGAGTTGCAGAATGTTTCCCAAGACATTTTGTATTCAGAGTTGAAACTATTCTGAAGTTGCTTAGGTATGTTTAGCACATAACAACTTGGCTTATAAAAAGGGAAGAAGAAAAGAGCTCAAAAAGCAGCAGCTTTTCATCAAAATTGGGGTTCAAATGAATTTCATCCATTTCTGTCAATGTAAAGAACAAAGAAAATCTTGATGCAAAAAAAAATTACCATTTTAAATTTTACCAAGTTTTCTCTCAGGTTCATTAGTTTAGTTTAATGTTACTCAGCATGCTCACAGCAAGTACTGAATTGGGCTGTTCCAATCCCGTGAGTTCAGATTCAATGTTGACTTCTGTACGTGTTGCACTGGGACAGAAAAACACTGTCTCTCAGCTTTGAAAATAGGGGGGGGTATTATTATTACTATTAAAAAAGAAGCAGCATTATAGCAGAAGAAGCCAAGCTACAAAGGGGTTCAAGATTGGATCATCTTGCCGGTTTTTAAGTGAATTCTGAATATGGCTAAAGAGTTAAACCTCCTGTGTGTCTGTGTTGTGTATGCCAGGTGGTATAGTAGTAGGCAATTGACTTAGCTGTAAGTGTGGTTTAAAAGTGTAAAAAAAATAAGCAGAAAACTCACTTGCACGGGTTGAAAAGTACAGAAATGACACTTGTGAACGTAACACTGTAGTTATAGATCTTAAGCTGCTAATTGTTGAGAGAGATTTACATTTGTCTTGTCTGATTGTCACAGATTTATCTGTGACACTTTTACTGTATATAAAAAACTTTAAATAAAGACCTCAGCTATTAATACTTGCCAGTCTGGATGTTTCCAAAGGGATGGGGAGGAGAGAGGGTGGTCAAGAAGGAAGTGGGGGGTGTTAAAGCTGTGTGAGCCCTCAGAGCTTAAAATCTGAGCAAGTTCTCCATAGATCCTGTCATCCAACTCCATCCTATAATCAGCCATGCACCACCATTGGCTGCGTTGTTTGATCTCTGCGGGCAGAGGAGGAGGAAGAGCAGCACTGTGTTCTTCCTCATTGTTTCCTTCCAGTCCACCTGGAGTCTGGGAGCTTCTCCACAGGGTCACCACCATTCCCATCCCCACAGATGCCAAGTTGGCAACAACTTTGTTAAGGGGAAATGGACCACGTCATTTTCTCTGTTTGCACAAAAAGATGGAAGTGCTGTAAACCCAGCAAGAGCTCAAAAAGCCAAAGCAGCTGCTTGCAGCAGCAGATCCCAGCGTCTCCCCGCAACCAGAATGCTAATTCCAGCAGATTGTGAATGAGGCAAGTGCATGGTGCTGCTTTTGCTAGAGCTGCCTGGCTCTAGACAGGACATGGTGCTGGGTGTGAAGTGTGATGCTTCTGCATGCTTTTGGGGTAATCACCTGGTCGGTGCTGGTTTGACTTGGTGTGGTTGTTGAATGTGGCTCAGGATCAACAGGACATGATGACTGAGGGTGAAAACAGTGGCCACCTCCCACGCCAGCATTCTAATCCCGTAATTCAGAGGATTAGGAGTCCTTACTCAGTTCTTTAGTTATCCTGTGGGAAGTGGTGTGATAGCTCCACCCAGGCCTGGGGGGGCAAACAGGAATGTGGCAAGGGTACAGCTAGGCTGGGCTGACACGATGGAGATGAAGAACTGGGTGATCTTCCTCACTGGAACAGTTGTTCTGATGGGTCAGATCAGAATACATTGATGTGTTGGTGGTGGAAACGGGCAACCAGACAGCTCCCTACGACACTTCTGTCTTCAAGCTGGTTTTTAGCAAGCGCCAAATCCACTGTCTCCTGTAAAAGACAGTGCTGGTTGGTGGTTTGTTGGCCTCAGTGGAGCCTCCCCCTGTGACTGAAGTCAGCAGAAACGGGAAGTGAGTTCTCTGCTGCCTGAGTTAGCATGAAAGCAAAATATCCCAGGGCAAACCAGCTCTGCTGGGTTGTTCATTCCCTACCCAGATGCCCCTGGAGTTAAGAATAAGAGTCACCAAGGCATGGCCTTTGTTCCAGCCTTGTGCTGGTCCTTTCCCGAAGGGACACAATGGGGAATGCTGATGAAACAGAGAAAATACTGCCTGAAGAGAGCAGTCAGAGCAGGGTGGGAAGCTGTGCTGCTTCCAGCCTACCTCCCCAGTGCAGGTTTGCCTGTAGCCCTTCCTGTGCGCGGCTGACACCCAGGTTCCCTTGCAATAAAAAGGCCTGAAGGACTGTGAAACTTCCTCCACTGCACACACAAAAGCACTGAAATCCCACAGGGGTCAGGTACCACATCTCAGCCGTGACAGCCCTCAGGACATCCGTATCTCATTCCATGGTCTGAAGAGACCTTTTTTGCCTAGCACTGGCTGTGATGCACAGGGAGTGGGAGCGCTAAGAAGTGGCCCATGAGCTTGTGGCCAGCAGAGTGAGGCGAGTGTGACACTGGGGTGTGAGTGTGACACCGGGCTGTGAGTGTGACATGGGGCTGTGAGTGACATGGGGCTGGCTGTGAGTGTGACAGCACACTGTGAGTGTGACACCGGGCTGTGTGACAGCACACTGTGAGTGTGACACGGGGCTGTGAGTGACAGGGGGCTGTGAGTGTGACAGCACACTGTGAGTGTGACACGGGGCTGCTCCCTCTCGCCAGCAGCTTCTCCGTTAGAGCTGGTTCAGGCACTGCTGCCCGCACATGCCCCGTGTGTTTCTCCAGCCCTGTAATGGGAACACAAGCCCTGGGCCAAGGCAACTCCCATTCACCCTTGGTCTGGCTGAAAATGTCACTGGAGGGAGACGCAGACCCGGGTGAGGGGACCGAGGGCGGGAGCTGCTCGTTTTGCTGTGAGCGGGGTCGGCTCGGCTCGTCCTCGCCTCGGGCACGCCCTGGGAGCCAGGTGGGGTGTTCGGAAGTCAACATCCTGCTCACATCGATCCGCAGAGCAGGGCCCGTGGGATCCCTGCAGGTCACGTTTGTGGCGGAGCGCTCCTCAGCCGAAAGCATCTTCAAGGAAACAGCATCCCTCTGCTCCGCCCGGCGCTGCCTCCGTCCTGAGGCGCTCGTGATCCGCGCCATGGGTACAACCGAGCTCTGCCAGAGTGCCCGGGAGCTTCGTCTCTGTTCCTTCCCAAAACCTTCCTTTGCAACCTCCCTCGCGTGTGTCGGGGCAGCTCCGCTCCTGCATTGCTCACAGCTGCATTTCCCCCGCTTTGCAAATAGGCTGTGACAGCCATCGGTGTTTGCCTGCCCCGTCCCTCCCTTTCCAGCCGGGACATGCACCTTGTCGCTGGGGGGGCCGGACCGCGGGCGCCCCGAGCCCCAAAGGGCGGCAGAGCCCCGCAGACCGGGCAGCCGGGTCGGGGCGCGGCGCTGCCCGGGGCCTCCCGCGGGGTCTGCTCTGAACCACCCCCATCCAAATCGGTTTAATCCCTGTGGTGAACGGGGCGGTTTAATGGTTCTGGTCTAACTCACCCCCAGCAAAAACCCTCCCCGAAGCTCTCCCGTGGAGCCGGCAGCGCCGGTGCCCTCCGCCCGCTCCCGCCGAGGGGCCGAGCTGACCCGGCCGTCACACCCCACTCTCCGCTCCCGGCCCCACCCGAGGCCGTGGCCTCCTCCGGTCTCTGGCGCCACCTGGTGGCGTCACCTGGGACTACGCGCCCCTGCTCAGCGCTCTCACAGTGTCTGGCGTCTGGATCCGCTGGTCCAAGCCCTCCGCTCGGCTGCAACCCCCGGGGCTGGCCCGGAGGAGCAGAGGCCTCTCCCGCTCAGGCTCGCAGCTGCTCTCCGGGCGCTGCACACAACGTGACAGCTCAGCGCCAGGTCCCGCGTCTGCTCCCAATGGGACCGTGCGGCTCCGCGCCGCGGCTCTGGAGGGAGCTGCTCTAGGGCATAGCTCACGGCACAAGAGGATGGTTCTCAAACCGATGCGGGCAGGGACAAGCTGCCTGCTCCCCCGGGGGGACAGGGGCCTGCAGAGGCTCCTCCTGAAGCTGCTCTTTCCTGTTATCAAAATGCCCCTCGTCTCTCTGCCGCGTCCCCCTTCTCAGGTGCTGCTCACAGCTCCCACCCCCTGCCAAGTGCTAATTGTGCAGCTGATTACCTGGGGGCGAGGTGGAGACACGGCTCTCACTGGGGAGGAGGACAGAGCGAGGGCTGCTCGTGGTGGGGAAACAGCACGGCTGGGAGCTGGTACGAGAAGGGAGCTGACCGGAAGTTGTCTTTTAATTGGGCTGCTAAAAATCCTTCCCTTCTCTCAGTCAGCATAAGGAAACCTGCGGCTCTGCTGCCCCAGGCAGGCTTTTGTTTTGCTCTGCACATGGACCCACACGGGTATTCACTGACTCAAGTAAGTAAGCTGGGATGTCCCATCTGACCCCCAAAGACTGAGGTCCTTCTGTGGGGCTCCGTGAGGAAAGCTCAGCCCCACAGGATGTTGCCTGAAAAGCCTCTGAGCAGAGACTTGAGCCTGGGGCTGAGGCAGTTGCTCTGGGGATGGTGGCTTGTGACAGGACTTGATGCTGGCACAGCCCCTTGTGAAGCCTGGAGCCAGCTGCTGCAGAGTGCTGATACACAGGGAGCATCTGCTTTTCCTCTCTGCTGTGCTGGCTGATAAGCACCATGTGTATGAAGAAGAGAGGCAAAGATGGACTGCCCAGTCTCCATGCCTGATACAGAAACACGGGCAAAGCACAGTTTGTAGGTTGAGATAATAGCTCTTGCTAGGCTAACCTTAACTTGTTTTACACACAGACATAACAGTGAGCAGGAGTGATAATGGCAGCAGAGTAGATAGATTGCTACTGTCTGGGTTATCTGGCCTTTATTTGATCACACTCAATTTGTTTCCTCTGCCTCTGGATTCCTGCAGTGCCAGCACAGGGCTCGCCAGTGCCAGCAGCCCAGCTCGGTGCTGCAGGACCCCTGACAGCCCAGTCTGCACCGCTGGCCTGGCTCAGGCCCACACTGATTTCACTGTGGCACCCAGCAGAGCATCTGCTGCTTTCTGGTTTTAAGACTTCCCCTTGAGCTTCTGCATGGGGCAGCTGCTGTGAGGTTCCGCTGGTGGGAGACTGCTTTTTTCCCTCTGGGATGGCAGCATCCAGAAAGTCTTCAGTCCAGGGACAGACAAAGCCCGCCAGGAGCATGGAGGTCTCCTCCTGGCTACATCACCCAAGCCAGAAGGCTTCACTCCGGGGTCTCCCTTGTTGAGGTGACTCCCTTATTTGATAAGACTGGGGATGGGGCAGGAGCAGGTCCATCCGGGGGCCCCCATGTAGCCAGGGAGCTGACGGTCCTGCTGAGGCCCCCAGTGCTGCATCAGCTGCCGGCAGCTCGTGGATCCAGTGGGGGAGTGGGGACACAGCACCGGTGCCCCAAATGCCTCCCCCTGCGGCACCAGGCTCAAGGCACTGGCAGAGGACCAGGGAAGTCCTGGTGGCAGCCGGGGCTCACTGGCACGTGAGGCCCTGCAGGATGAGCCCCAGATTTGCACCCAAAGGCTGGAGGTTTGGTGCTGGGCCCCAGCCCGGTGTCTCACCCCATCTGTGCGGGCTTTGGGAAGGGAGCAGGGACAGAGGAGAGCAGGACCTTGCCACACTTCCCGTTTCCACTGCCTGTGGCCATCCCTGCAGCACAAGGACCGATCATGGCTTTTAAGGTGCTGGTTTTGCTTCTCCATTAGCACGCCTCAGCCCTGACTCACTTCCTTTCCCACCGATGCTCTGCTGGCGAATGCTGTAGGAGGTCCCTCTGTGAGCCCTCACCCGGGAGCCTGCAGCAGCTCCTGTCGTGCTTTGGTCCATTTCCTTCCACGTGAGCAGTTTCCGTAAC